CACCTTCCTATCAAGTTGCCATGTCTAATTTACCCAATGTTATATGTGAACATTTTCGGATGTGGTTTTACACCTACTCCTCTATGTGGGTCCCACGTCTATTTTTATAATGTTTTGTTAATTTAAAATAAGAATTTTATCTTTCTCGTTATTAAGACTATTGTTAGTCTTGATTCACTTCCTTTAATTCCACGCTTGATGAGAAAAAATTCTCACGGTGAAATTCGGGTCCGTTGTTACAAGTTCACCCCACCTTACAGGAATTTTGTCCCCAAAATTAACATTTGAATCGTGAGAAAACAGTTCTCCCTTCACTAATTGAAGCTAACAATTTCAATATCATAATATACTTGAGAAACGTTAAGGTTCAAAAACAAAATACCTTATGCCATAGTCGGGCCCAACAAATGGCTTCCGCCATTCTCGACCTTCTCGAGCGAGTTCGCCTTTGATTTCTAGAGAGTACCATATCTGAGGCAACCCCAGTTGGCTTTTAAACCCCTGTGACTCCTCCTCTAGATCCTAATGTTCCTTCATGTGTACGTTGAGGACAAAGGACCTTGATGTGGCCCGTTTCTCCACAAAAGTAACATCTGGATGGCTCTAGACATCTCCCGTGGTGCTTTTGTCTACAATTTTCACATTTGGGTGCTACCATGCCCCGAGTGTTTGAGCTTTGACTTACCAAGTCCTGACTCCCTTTGATACTGGAACTGACTTGTTAGAGTCCCCCTTGCTCTCAACGTCGTGCTTCCCCTCCGGTCGTGGAGGGTGGTCGATTACCTGATTACTTTCTTCTGTTTCCTTTGATGTCTCCCCACCAAGTAGATTTGAAGCTAAACCTTCCAACAATCTAATGGCTACCCTTAACTTCATGTGACACCCTAAAAATTTAATAGTAAAGTAAATAAAATAAAAATAAACCAGAAACAATATAATTCATATGATAAAAATAAAATGAATATTAAAGATGATATTAGGAATACCCAAAATCAAATGAAACACAAAATAATAAAACCATATATATAAGTAGTAGGCCTAAAAAGGGTATTGGTTAAAATATATGCACAACTTAATTTTTCATATAACAAAATACATAAATAAATAAATAAATAAATAAATAAATAAATAAATAAATAAATAAATAAATAAATAAATAAATAAATAAATAAATAAATAAATAAATAAATAAATAAGTAAATAAATAAATACAAGTTGACCAGTCAAAGATATACATCACATATATAATGCGTAGTATACATAATAGACACTATATGCGCACCAGTACACACTGTGTATATTATACACATTAATTATACATACACACATACATAATAAGCGAAAGGAGTCTCGCTTGTCACTTTCATGGGAGTGGTCCGGAACATCCATTGCATGTTACTTAGCTCTTCAACTCACATGGTCCCAAAGGCTTCTTATTTCTTCTGGAGGTCATCTACGATCGTGCGATTGGTATTCTCCACTTGTCCGTTTGCATGGGGATAGCAAACAGATACTCGACTCCACGCCCCACTCGACATCGAACTGCTTGAATGGTTCGCAATTGAACTGTCTTAAATTATCGGAAATAATTTGTAGAGGAACTCTGAAGCGACATAAGATATTCTTCCAGATAAACTTCTTGCACTGCAAATGTGTTATGTTGGCGAGCGGCTCTGCCTCCACCCACTTTGTGAAGTAATCCACGGCCACGATGACAAACTTTCTATTTCCCAACCTGTTTGGTAAGGGACCAACCAAGTCTATAACCCACCAGATAAATGGTAGAGCAGTGCTAATAGGCGTGTACATCGTTGTCGGCCTTCCGGGGCTCCTCTAAAATTTCTGGCAGGTATTGCACTTCCTTGCGTAATCGGCAATCCTTTATGATCGTGGGCCAAAAGTATCCTTAGAGGACAACTTTCTTGGCCAAGGTGTGTGATCCCCGATGGGCTGAACACACACGACCATGGAGCTCTGCGGCAATCATATTGGCCTTGTGCGGTCGTAAACATTTCAGCAATGCTCCACTATAAGATCGTTTGTATAGCTTACCGTCAAGGAAGACATAGCTCGAAGCCCGTCGCCGGACGAGCTTCGCTTCATCTTCCTGATCGGGTAAGGTCCCGTCAGCTATGTAATGTAGCAAATCATCCACCCAACTCCAAGTTACTTGTTGTAGAGGAAGGACGGTTATCGAAGGTGAAGCTGTTATGCTTGAGGTCGTCATATCCTCGAATAGAGCAGTCTTGGAGATGTGCTCGGGTAATCCTTGAGATAGACGGGATAGGAGGTCAACGTCCCCGTCCTGGCTCCGCAGGACGCAGACCAGCTCTGCCTGCCTAAACAACCCGAGCAATTCTCGACCAACATCCTTGTACTTCGCCATCCTTTCTTCCTTTGCTTCGAAATCGCCCTTCACTTGGGATACGACTAACCGGGAGTCACGCTTCACCGTTATCCACTTCGCTCGCATGGCCATAGCTAATCATAGCCCCCCGACAGCAGGGTTTTATACCCCAACCTCATTATTTGACATTTTGAATAGGTAATGGTAAGCGTAGTACGCTCGAAACCCCTCAGGCAAGATCGGGACGATCCTGCCCCCGCAGCCTTTTTTCCGTAACTTCGTTCGTCGTGCACACCACGATGAAATCCGTAAGTGCCTGACCCTTGATGGATGACCGGGGCTAAAAATCCACCTCATACTGATTGAGAAGCATCGATCACTTCACGACCTACGTCGTCACAGATGTTCTCAATGTTGCGCCTAGAGGTTCATCTGATAGGACCCTGATCGGGTGTGCTTAAAAATAATGAGTCAACTTCTTTGCCGTGACGTAGGCGACATAAATGGTCTTCTCAGGTGTGGTGTACTGTAGCTCCACATTCTGCAAGGTTTTATGTACATAGTATACGAGATTCTGAATTCTGTGTTCCTCGTGGACCAGCACAAAGCTGATCACGCCTTGCGGTACTCCTAAGTACAATATCAATGTCTCTCCTTTCCTTGTCTTGCTCATCAGTGGTTCGGAGAGGAGATACATCTTCAGGTCTTCGAATGCTAGCTGACACTCATCCGTCCATGTGAATCCATTTTGCTTCTTCAGAACCTGGAAAAAGGTAAGGACTTCTCTGCTAATTTCGACATGAAACGCCCAAGAGATGCCATTCGTCCAATGAGAATTTGCATTTCCTTCACTGACCTCAGGGCTTCCATGTCAAGGATTTCTCTCACCTTCTCAGGGTTTGGCTCTATCCCTCTCCTGGTGACCATGGAACGTGTCGTAATGCATCACGTTCACCGAGCTTCCATTATCTACAAGAACTCAATGGACAATCGTATCGTTTATCTCCACCTTGATCACTAGGGCATCCCTATGTGGTGATGACATGAGTGGTAAGTCGGCATCAATGAAGTAGATTGGATCTCTTCTTATCTTCTTCTATGCAGGAACTCGGGTAATCTCCCTAACGTACAGGGATCGGGCCCATCGCTTCCTTTTGCCCTAAGTGTCGCCTCCTTGGGGGTAGCCCACGATGTATGAGCCCTAATTACTAGATATTAGGTGTTGTGCACAAACATATGTATTATATTATACGTACATATATGTAACTACACTTTACAAAAATGTGTAGTAACTATTGTGTGTAAATATATGTAGTGTATAGTAGTACACAAATAGGTATAATTTATTTAGTACTAAAGAAATATTAGTACCAACTTGTGTTTGTATATTTACATGCTATATATTTACATGCTACATATACATGAAGTGATATCAACAATATGATACTACTCCCATTTTTACGCATTTACGCTCATACCTTCAATCACTTCCAATATGTTTGTTGGAGACATATGTTCCTATCATTCCGATGGTATAAGTGGCCTCTTCGACGTCCCGAAGGGCGTGACAAACAGAAGGGAAAGAAAATAGCAGAAAAATAAGTATTCAAAGACGGACCTCGTGATGCTTGAGTTCATGGAAAGACCGATGAAGCAAGACGGGTTAATGGAAAAGATAAGAGAGGAGAGGTGTGAGGCGGCGAAGGAGAATGCTGATGCGACTACAAGGCTGAAATATATAGATGCCGTAACCATAAACCCAAGTCAGTACTCACGGAGGAAGCAAAAGTTGTTAAGGGAGCAACTAAATGCCATTCTGGGCTATGATCAAGATGCCTCGAGTAGCGATGTCGCCACTTCCGCATACGGAGATGACTACTTTCCTAAATTTGACTAGGACATGGATGGTGTAGTCTTTCAGTTTTCGTTATTTCATTCAATTGTATTTCAATTTTCGTTATATAATATTGTGAATTAATATTCATTGAAAATTCTAACAAACATTAATATCATGTTTATTTTTTAAAATATACTCTAAATTAAACACCTCTAAATTTAGCAAATAATTATGATGAAGCTCATAACTTTTTTTTAGGCTCTAAATTAAACTTCTCTAAGTTTAGTAACATAAATTCTCTAATTCTAACGAAAAAGTTAAGCTAACAAAAAACTTATGTAAAAGGAAATTATAATTGCATACGCAGTACTCATTTCATTTTTTGTTATTTAATTCATTTGTATTTCAGTTTTTATTATTTGATTCCATGGTGAAGAATGATGTATTATTTTTGTATTTCAGTATTTATTATTTGAGCATTTTTTTTGCAATTGTAGTGTTTTTAAAATAATGATGGAATAAATTACCACTTGTCTTATCCTTTCACATCTAATAAGTACCAACTTGGTTGTTCATTTCACATTAGTTGTACTCACTTGCTTAGTCCTTTCACATCCAATAAGTACCAACTTGGTTGTTCATTTCACATGTCGTTGTACTCACTTGTCTGGTTCTTTCACGTCTAATAAGTACCAACTTGGTTGTTCATTTCACATGTAATTAGTAGCCACTTGCTCAGTCTTTTCACATCTAATAAGTATCCACTTGCTTTATATTTTTGCATAAATAGATGTCTCACTTCACAATCTTCCCACACTCAATCCTCCTCATTTCTGTATACACCCAAAAATATTCATTAATCATGAGTTCTTATCCTGATATGACAAAAGCCTAGGATGAGTATGATGATGCTGAGGCCGACGCTCATCGTATGAGAGTGGCTGTTATGGCGACACTTATTTCTTCAAGCTCCGGTGGTCGTGAGTACATTGACCGAGGCAGGGAAGATGGCCACCAACGTTTGATGGATAACTATTAGAGTCCAAACCCAACTTACAACGCTCACATCTTCTGACGTCGTTTTCGCATGCAACCGACTTTATTTGATCGCATAATGAATGATGTGGTGCTAAGCCGATCCTTTCTCCGCACCAAAAAAAGATGCATTGGATAAGGTTTTTCTTTCTCCTCACCAAAAAATTACTAGTGTCATATTCATGCTAGCAAATGGGTGCTCTGTTGATTCATTAGATTAGTTATGTCATCTGGGGGAGAGCCTGACTTTGTCGTGTTTGAAGAAATTTTGTAAGACAATTATCGAAACACACAGTTCTTGGTACTTGCGAACACCAAACCCCAATGACCTCCACCGTCTTCTTGAGTAGGCTACAAAAGAGGTTTGTCCGGCATGATTGGTTCCATCGACTGCATGCAATAAGAATGGAGGAATTGTCATACGGGAACAGTTCAATGGGCACAAGCACAAACCAACTGCTGTGCTTGAGGCCGTTGCTTCGTACGACACATGGATATGGCATGCATTTTTTTGCACAACGGGTTCCAACAATGACTTTAACGTACTTGGATGCTCTCCAGTTTTTGATGTCATTGTTAATGGATACGACACGCTCATCAAGTCAAGTACATGACAAACAATACCATATACAATTAATGTTATTATTCAACTGACGAAATCTATCCCACATGGGCTACTTTTGTTAAAACAATTAGTAACCCTGACACCTCAAGAAACGCATCTTTGCTGCTAGGAAAGAGGTCTATCGCAAAGATGTGGAAAGAGCGTTTGGCATTTTACAAACGCGACAGGCTATCTTACGAGGACCCAACCAAATGTATGAGACATAGACATTATGTGATATAATGCTCACATGCATTATCTTACACAATCTGGTAGTAGAAGACGAGTATGAAAAAATTGATGATGATGATGCGAGTACTCAAGACTATAGTGTGCAGTATGACTATACTGTTGTGCACTTTCAATTTGATTTTAACCACGATACTCCGACTTTGCATGCCTACATGATATGACATAATTGAATCAGGAGCATTGTGGTGCACACTCCCCTTAAAAATGATCTCGTGAATCATTTGTGGTGCCATCACGCGCGAGAACACCGAGTAGGTTATTTTTCTGTTGTTTATGTTAGGTCCCCTGATTTTTGATGAAATGGTTTTGATGATGTCAAGCCCCTTTATCCCTGTATTAGACCAGTCTCGCTTTGTGTAATTGTAATGTGCTCCATATTTAGTGGATAAAGTACTCATAAAAAGCAAATAGTACTAAAAATAGAAGTTAAACGTACCATAAACAAAAGAAAGAAAATGATCAACAAAAGAAAGAAAGGGTACGAAAAAAGTTAACTGGTATTCATTGTTAAGGATTGAGCCAACTGGAAAAACTCCAGAAATCAGCAGTCAGCCGATTTCTGGGGAGCCAGCTGAAATGCTTGGCAGCCAGCCGAAAGCTGGATTTTTCAGCTAACTCATTCGAAATCCAATTCTCTCTTCTCTTAGCACAAAACACTTACACAATAGACCAACTTGTAGACAAAAGAACAAATTGTTAAAAAGTAAATTTATAAGAGATTTTTATCACACTATGAATTTCTTATAAATTTATTTTACAAAAGCAAGTGTTCGTTCGTTGTAAGGTAGGTTTGAAATATCACTCGGCTTTATACTAGTTTCTACGTAGGATAATAAAAGATAAATTATCTTTTATATTGCATTGAAATGTGTAAACAAGTTGAGCTGAATAGAGTTGATCTGTGTCACTACGTGACAAGAATAAACCATGATGCCTCAGTCAAGTGGAACAAAGCAAGTATATCAAGCAACGGTCAAGATTCATTTTCTCAGCCAGCGGTGAAGATGAAGTGATCAAGTCTATAAATACAGAAGGAGTGCGGAGTTACCAAGTGTGGAAAACATGTGGTAAACAAGTGGAGAAACAAGAAAGGAGCCAAGTGGTTAGAAGGGAATATACTTTACACGCTCAAATCCATCCAGCTGATTCCCCTTCTCCACTTAGGCCGCCATGCACCCCACTCGTCTAATGCTCTTAGACTAGTTATGATTCATACAAATCAATAGAGCTTAGACTAGTTGTTAGTATAGATTTACACCCATGTAATCTAGACTAGTGTTAGACATTCTGGAGGGCTTGGTGATCAAATCCAGAAGGTGAGAAAGAGCAAGAACATGAGTAGCTCTTGGCGATTCAATGCCATTAGTGAAAAAACTTGGGAGGACATGAGTAGCTTGGAACAGTGTTTAAGTTTCTTGTGAAAAACCTCACAATCTACACCTGGGCCAAGGGTAGATTGTGTACTAAATGTAATGAGATATACATTTAGTGAAAATCCATCTGAAATAGGTTGGGACTGGATGTAGGGGGATTACACCACCCCTGAACCAGGATACATCGTGTGTCACCTTTACATTCTGCACCTAACATTTATTTCAGTTCTCACTCACCTTCACAACTGCACAAAAAAACAGCTTGCTCACTTAATTTGTCCAGTGAGCTTTCCCAGTTCACTGTGAGTCATCTCCTTGTTATCTGTTCTTCAAAGTGACCTAATTCCATTGGTCTAAATCCTTCATACACTTGTGTTAGACTACTTCTAAAGTCAGTCAAGTTGTTAGAGTAAAGTTCCCTGCTATACTTTAAACAACAAAACAGAAAAGCCAAAGCAGCAGCCTGCTCCTAAGGATCAACAACCATCTCCCAAACTAACTGGCAACTGCCTCTTCAGGATTTCAGCAGCCTGCTCCCAAAGCCATCTGTTTATGGCAAACACGTCTGTTAATGTTTAACCCATCTCTCTCACTACTAAAAGGGTCATAACCTTTGTTCCTATACAGTGTCATCCTTTTGAGGTCAAGACTTCTGTTGCATGTATCAATAATTCAATATCTCCCAAAAGATGTTGAAACATATCTAGTTAGAGGAAAAAAGGGTTCAAAACCGAAAAGATTTAAAAGTCTATTCACCCCCTCTAAACTTTTACCTCACGTGGAACTCAGTTGGTATCAAGGGCATTCATCAGTTTACTATTTTCATTTTTCAGTTCAATAATTCTACTACTGTTTGTAGCTTTTCCCGTTATTGTTATGTATTATAATTTCTTCCTCCTTTTCATTATCATACTGAATATTATGTGTGTTTCTAGTAATTAATTGTTGGTATTTCAATTTTAGTTTTTGTATCAGAATGTTTGAGTTTTTAAATGATATTTTTTGGGAAAAATAAAATTATCACTTAAATGGTGTGTAATAAAATAAGTAAAGATTCATACATTTAATAAAAAATATGTTCTAAATGAATATATTGATGGTGCTGAGTTACAAAGAAAAACTAATTGAAGGAGTAAATACACATAAACCAATGGGATATTAGATTATAAAATTAATACAAGTAACAGAAATTGCTTAAATAGGAGTAAAACGTTTTGAAATTTCAAAATAGGACTATCATGTTTTTTTCCTCTGAATATGAATAATCTGTCATGTTTTAAAAAAATGTCATATATAAAACCTACTAATGTCAAAAAATGCCAAAATTGACATGTTTTTTTTTTTGGGAAGGACAAGAAATTTACTTGATAATCGTATTTTAAATTCTGTCCCCAAGAAACCGGCTTCCCCGTATGTGTTCAGTTGTCGCCCTACCGCCACAAATCATAACCCGCTAGGCAAGGTCCGGCGCGTCACCACCGGTTCTATAAATTTTTAAACACAGATTCGACCACCCACCATCCTCTCATCTCCAATTCCTCCAAGCACTTCGCATATACTCACTAACCAAATCTTACGTTAGAGTATCCTGTCTGCACCCATCGTCTTCCTCTCTGGCTGTAGCATGGCCAGACCGCTTTTACAGGAGCAGGTGCTCCCTCTCCTCGCGGCCGCGAACAACCACGGCGATTTGGATGTAAAACTTTCGTCTTTGAGGCAGGCTAAGGATGTATTGTTGTCTGCTGACCCGTCGCAGGCTGCCAAGGTTTTCCCTTATTTGATTGACCTCCAGTCTTCCCCGGAAATCTTGTTGCGGAAATACCTAATTCAGTAAGAAGTATTCCTTCTTGGAAGCTCTAGTTTTCCCTTCGTGTGTTTTCTGCTCTCCTGTTTGCGAAGTATTTTAATTGACATTAATTCAAGAGGGCCGTTCATAATTTGTTTTCTTGGTTTGTATGAATATGCCGTCAAAATGTTAAAATTGATTGAATCATTATTACACGCGGGAATAAAAACAATGCCGCTCGTAATCAATGGGTTGTCTTCTTACAACACTCAGCATGGTAGTAGTCTTGATGCTGTGAAGGAAAGGGAACTAAAAACTTGTTTTTCTATACCTGCTTAAATGAACAATCTTTCATTGATTGCAGATTTGAAGGGAACATTTTGGATTTGTAAAGGTTTAAACTTTATTCAGAGGCTAGTTATCAGCCTACATTCTTGAAACAATTTTTTAATTTATAGTTTATATTTTCCTCTTTGTGACAATCAAATCTTCCATTTACTGCTGCATTGTGATTCTCCTTGGCCCCCCATCATCTTTATGATGCCAAATATGAATTACAGGGTGATTGAGGATATTGCCACGAAACCCATGGAACACACATCAATATTATTGCCTGTATTATTTGCGTCTTTGAGGGACAGTAGTTCATTGGTTGTTAAGCAAACCATTATCTCTGGAACACACATCTTCTGTGGACTGTTGGAGGAATTGTCAATGCAGGTCCGCCCTCACTCTTAATTTATGTTCTCCCCCACATTCCTTTACTAGTTTCTTGGTGCAATCTATCAAGTTTTGTAGTCACCAAAGTTTTCATCCGCTGTCTAAAACTGGAATTATGACTCATAAAAGAAAGAAGAGCAAGGGTTCTGAACTATCAAACAAAGTTATATGAAAAAACATGTGGATATATAAATGAAAAACAGGTATACTTATATAAAAAAATAAATTATAAATATATCATTATATTCAATATTTTTATGTTTTCCCACATATCATATCCTATATTTTATACAAATCCTGTTTCTTGCGTTTCACGTTTCTGCGTTACTTAGGTTCTGGTTTTATGGCTCACATACTATTTGATACAAATCTTTTTCTTTTACTATGCTATGATTCTATGGTGCCAGATTGTATATTTGGTATAGTCGTATAGCTGATACCTTCGGTAATGATTTTTGTAAAAAACAGTGTATGGCATGACCTATGTTCTTATGCTCATTCTTTTATATGGGTGGGGATATGACAATACACATGCATTATTGCGTAATCTTTTATGGTTTAGGGTGATCCTTTAGTTTAGCTGAGTCAGGCTTGGTAAATAGCTTGGCCTTGGGTTGTCAGAGCCTCATGGTTCTCTGAGGAAGCTGGATGTATATGAGCTTCATGGTTCTCTGTAGAGTAGCAAATATTTAAAGGAAAGTGCTTTGCATGAAAGTCATGTGTGGTTAAAATAAGATGTGGAGTTACAGGTCTGCTTGTATAACTCACATGCGTGTGCCTTTTTTATTCTTAGAAGATAAGAAGACCCAGTTTAACAAAATTTGATGGAGTATATAATGATTTTTATATTTCAATTTCACTAGGACACAATTTCATTTGATGCTCAAAAGAATAATGCCTTTTAATACTATTTGCTGACTTAATTCTTCTTTCACTAATATATATTAATTCACCAACACACACACACATATCAATTTCTTTCTCTATTTTCTAAACAAGCATTACATTAATCATGTGTCCGAAATCCAAGCATCCCATTTTCTAGAGTTGGTTTGTTTTGCGATATCCCTAATAATCACGTTAGGCTTAGTGCAATTATTTTTTTGTCTGTCCATCAAGTATAACAACTTCAAGGAGATGACATATGCAGTTCATTTAATCATTTTACCCCAAATCTTAACCATCATCACCATGTGGTGTTGAATTCTTTCTATTAACTTCTCTCGTATTGTGAGTTTGTGACATCCATTCTCACTCTTTCATGTAGTTTCACCGGCGTGGTTTAGTAGAAAGGTCACACGAGGAGCTCTGGACATGGATGATCAAGTTCAAGGATGCTGTTTTTTGCGCTCTATTTGAGGCATGTGTGCATTATTTATGTGTCATGCATGCATGAACAAATCCTTTTCTCCGCATTCTTCCATGGATTTCATGACTGTCTTAATCAGGCAATTATTTAATTACATTGTAATGTTGAATACAATATCACATTCAATTTGACTAAATTTTTGTGAAGAGTAACCTGACATTTATTTCTACTGACTAGTTATTTCTTAAGAACTGCAAAATATCGATAATTATTTGTTTTCGTTTTCATCATGGTAGCACTGTTTTCACTTACCATCCTTAAAGAAGAAAGAACCAAGCAATTTTAAAAGATCAAAAGATAAGGGCAAGTGTGTATAAAACAAATTCAAAAGATAATCCCCCCATTCAGGCTTTGTGAAATCTCTTTGTTAACATAGATCTAGTTATGAAAGAGGATCATTTTTCGTTACAATGTAGATCAAAATAATATTATTTGTG